AAATGAGTATTATTAAACATTTAAACATTTAAAAACATTTATTATTAAACATTTAACTTTTGCAATAAGATTAAATAATGATATTATTGTTATAAAAACAATATTTTTAATTTAATTCTAAAATATATTAAAATAATCATATATAATCTTGAAATTTGTACTTTATTTTTGAATGTTTAAAACAAGATATCACTTTTAGTAATTTTGAAGCTTGTTCCCATAAAATTAGCCATAATCCATCATTACTCATTGTTCCCCAAATATACGTTTCCTGTAATCTAACCCTCTAGAAAATTTATAATTCTTCGTTTTTGTTTACTAGAAACAAACAAAGTTCATTTTTATCTTTTTTTATAATCAATTTCTTCTACTTTATATATTATGAAATAAAAGAATTACAATAGTAACCTTCTCAAATTAATCATTTTATTAATTAAATTTATAAAAAAACATAGTTCTGCTAATCGAAGGGTGAATAACAAAAGAATCATCACCAAAAAAGATTGCTTAGGATCCAAAGTTATCCATATGAATTACTTAAACAATTTTCCATTAAAATTTTTAATTATTTTGTTATTAAATTATATTTATGTTATGGTCTCCATTGTAAGAAATTATTTTATTTTAAGACTCATTAAAACTTAAACTGTAAACCCAATCAAATCCATCAATTAGTTATAAATCTAATTTTTATACACATCAACCATTTTCTTCCCAAAAATAAATATATTTTTAAAGTCCAGCAACTAATAAATTATTTTTTTCACTTATTGCAAAAAAACTAAAACTGTTTTAATCTACTTAAATTTTCCTTTAAACTTTTGAATTGTTTATACCAATAAAAGATCTTATTTTAATCATTTGATTACAACCTGATATTAAAATTTTGTCTTTATTGCAGTTTAAATATGTCAATTCTTAATTGCTGTGATATAATTCACCAATCTTATATAGTAATCCTTTGTGAAAAGCATAAATCTTTATTTTTTTATCACTTCCAATACACAATAATGAATTTTTACTATTAAATTTCATTGTTCTACACATATCATATTATAAATAGGAATTTTTGAAATCTCCGATAAATTACTATTAAGAGGTCTAACTACTGTTCTATTATTTCCTTTATATTTTATTAGAGTTTCCCATAAAAATTTATAATTAATTAATTTGGATTTGAGAACAAAAATTTATGAATACTAAATTCTTATATAAATGGAATTTCATTCTCTAATTTCTCTTCCTTAAGAGAAATTTAATTTATAATAAATGAAAAACCAAAGTGTAGAAAATGAATAATTTAAACAGAAATAAATTTGTATTGTTATCCCATTTATTTATGAGAAACAAAATGAATCTGATTTTTATTTAGCTGTTCCATTCAGATATGTAATTATATTTCTATTAATTCTATATCTTAAAAAAATCATTTATCTGCAATAGAATTCAATTAAGGCCATGAGCAAATAAGATTAATCAATCTTAAGTTAGAATTTTTACAAAATCATCAAATTTTTATTCTTTCAAACTGCAATCTGATTCTATTGACATAGATTCGCATCGCAATCATTATGTTATTATAAGACCTTTAAATTATTGTTTCTGTTTAAAAAGTTTACATTTTCATCACTTCTAACAAGCCAATCAATCACATTATAAGGAATTTTAAGAATAAACGATAATCTGAATTACGTCATCACTTATACCCTTACATTTTATACTCCTTACTGTACTTTAAGATAAATCAGTTTAATTAAAAAAACATAAATATTCATTGATCCCATTAATCCTTGAAATAGAATAATTATATGATGAATTATAGGTATTTGATATTAATTTTTATATAAATATATTTTTATTAATGAGATGTTGTCTAAAAGTTGAAATCTAAGTAATAATTTAATAATAATCTTTGTAATTGAAAATTAGTTAAAAATAAAAATAAATCTTAACTATAATTAGAAATTTAAAACATTAATTTGAGTATAAAATAGACAATCACTTAAATTACTAAAAGGAAATGACGCTAATATAGTTATACTTGATAAATATTTAATAATCTATTCAAAATTATTCATTTTCAATCCCAATTTGGATAGGAAAAACTTCGCGAAGATATAATTTAATGAGAACCTAAATTGAGATATTATAAAAGTATTTTAGTTTATAAACAATTACTTAATAATAATATTTCCTATACTATCCTTTCAAAAAGAAATAGAATTTTATAAATCTAAGATTTTTGTTTAACTAATTCATTACAATTTTATATAGTGATAATTTTCACTATGATTTTTTAAATAAACTTTTGGATGTAATGTGAATCAACAATTTAATATAAGAAAATTTCTGAATTAAATAATCATATTTTGTATTCTTTAGAGTTGAATTTTTTGATATTCATTTTTCCAACACCAGAAAAAAATGCTCCTTCTTTGACTATTCATTTTTGATTTTTCAACAATTAATTCATAAATTAATACTCATTCCAATTATATAAAATAATTAATTTTGATTAGAAAATATAATGCAAAAATTTTCACGAAATGAATTAGAAAGTCGAATAAATTTAGTAAAACTTTACATTATAATCAAATTTATAATCAAATCAAAAGAATAGTTGAATGATAAGATAAATGCCAATATTTTAAGGTAATTTATTGAGAGTCTTGATTATAATTATCACTTAAAGAAATATCTTCTATTAAGTAAAATTTTGATTATGTTTAACTTATTTTATAAAGGAACTAGAAAGATGATAATAAATTCTAATTAAGTTAAATTAAATAAATTTTAACGTTATCTAAATCAATGGAAAATTAAACAATGGATTCAATAAGGAACTCTTCTCGGATTTTAACCCTCTGCGTTAAATAGAACCTTTATTCAATAAATAGAAAGAATTACTTGCTTTCAATAATTGGATGATTACTAATAGTAAAATAATTTAAGAGAATAATCGCTTTTTTTTTAATTTCGAGAGCAATTGATAAATTAATACAAATTACACTATGATTATAAAATATTAAGAATTTAATTGATCAAATAATATATAAAATAAAAAGATTTTATATTGAAAAATTTATTAAAAATTAAAAATTTCAATTATTAGGAGGGGGATGGAAAAAAGGAAGAATAAATTAGGAAAATGTATGTTTTAATTTATTTCTTAGTTAAAAAATTACTTAATGGTCAATGTGAATATATTGGTTCTTTTGCGCTACTTCAACCACAAAATCTGAACTTATTTTGAATGTTGATTTTGAAGCCTTACACTAATTTATTAGTCACTTCTTTTCACCTTTTGTTAATACTTAGTTTCAGCTAAACATTGGTCAAATCAGGTCTTGGTAGGAAAAATAAATTGGTTAATAATCAAATTCCAAATAGGAGATTTCATAATTTAATTTTTTTTTTGATTTAAACAGTTATTATCTTTTTTTTTTCAATATATTTATTATAAAAATCTAAAATTGAAAATATTTGATATATTTATCAACTATGAGCCCAGTTTATGTTAAAAAGATGCCCAAGCAAATCTATTAATATGCGAGCTCTTTGTTCTTATTTAATTACCATCCTGCACTTTTAGGTATTAAAGGATATTCAATAGACCATTACCTAGTACTAACCAAAATTTTTTTTTCTCCCAATCTTATTATGTAAGTTCGGAGCCTATTACTTAAAACAGGTTTAATCTCCTTCCTTTATTGGCACTTTGGCCTGAATCATCAACTTTCCCTAATTCTTCTCGACCTACTACGAGTTCCTTAAAAGGAAACTTACAAAATCAATTTTGAATTGCAAAAGAAATGTTAGTTCTAAATTTATATTCAACAATAAAAGTTATTTTATTATTTTTTTACCATATTTAATATAAATTTTAAAAGAACTTTATTTAATAAATTGCTCAATCTTGAATTCTAATATACATGATTATAGGAGTTAGTTTAAGTCAAATTATAAATAATTTGAAATTATAAGTTCTATTTTAATTCACTGTCTATAATAAAAACTATAAAATTTAGATATATATTTGTAAAGAAAATTTTTAATTTATTTTATTTTTGTGATGTGAGTCTTGCTTCAAAATCCAATAATTACGTTTATTAATTTTAAGAACAATTATACTGAGAAATGCTTTAAAGTGATTATTATATCGTATGCTAAATTTAACCTTTTACTATTTTGTAACCTTATTAGCACCATTAAAATTCACATAAATAAATTATTTATGTATATATTTAAAATATTCATCATAATTTACTATCCTTATATTTAATTATTATTTATTAAAAAAATCATTTCTAATTATATAAATTCTATAATTAAATTTAGAATTTAGTTTAAGATAAGAAAGAAAAGCAATCACATTAACAATTTCAGGATCTTCTATTTATCTTAGCAAGGATTTTAAAAATGTACATTTCCTTACGAATCTTTAATAGAAAAATTATGATCTTAGCTTAAAAAATTAATTCAAGAAATAATTATGTTTTATTGATGTTGTCGATATATGTATCATTAAATTTTTCACGTTAGGATACCTTTCCTTATTGTAGAATAGAAAATTATAAGCAAAATATATAATGATTGATTATTATTTATATTGAATATTCATTGATTCAATTTCTTCTAGCATAATTCTAATTTTAATAAGTTAAGTATACCTGTTTATTTTATTGTATATTGATCATTAGGATCAATCTTTAATGATTTCTGATAATAAATTAAAGCTTCTTAATATTTTTATTAATCTCTTAAGCAATCCCCTAAAAATACAATTATATTATACCTTTGCATTAAAGAGAAAATGTATTTTGTGGATTGATGGAAAGAACCTAATCGATTAATTATAAAGCTTCATTATATTTTTTCAATAATAGTAAACATGCGCCTATTAATATAATTATGATTCAATTTACCTTTTTAATTTAAGGAATTAACATTCTTAGGATCAATCGCTATTGCTTTGTCTAACCAAATAATTGCATCATCATATTTATTTAACAACCTTAAACATCTACCTTTTAATATAATTATTATTCAATTTACCTTTGTCATTTAAGGAATTAACATGCTTAGGATCAATCGCTAATGCTTTGTCCAACCAAATGATTGCATCCTCATATTTATTTAACTGCTTTAAACATCTACCTTTTAATATAATTATTATTCAATTTACTTTTTTCATTTAAGGAATAAACATGCTGAGGATCAATTGCTAATGCTTTATCCAACCAAATGATTGCATCCTCATATTTATTTAACCACTTTAAACATGCGCCTATCAATTATCTATAATTTTACCTTTACACCACAAGGTTAAATGGTTATTAGGATTTTATTGTATTGATTAATCTAATAGTTAGATTGCCTC